AAGGAGCGGTTTCCTTGACCAAGGAACCGAGGGATCATGGCAGATCTCGACATATCGACAGAAAATATCACTTTATTAGACATCGGGTAGAAGAGGGACTCCTCGTAATGAAGAAGGTATCGTCAGAAGATAACCCAACAGATCCCCTTACGAAGGGACTGAGTAGGGTTAAGCACTTGCAGCACGCTAGGAGCATTGGGCTGAAGGACGATATTAGTTTAGATTAGATAGCTTCGAAACGTGTAATTGATACAATTGTAATTAACATTTGATGATTAAATAAAGGTGTATTATTTATAAGTAAAGTTATTGTCTTATGTTAATCATTTACCTATTGTTTCACTTTGCATGTTTTTACTTCCAGAATAATAAGATTATTCGAACAGTCCACAGTCGCTCATACTTTGGAAGTAGGTATGAAAGAAGACTGTCATGAATTGGCTTGTAGATTGTCTAAAGTGTATTAGACATAGCAAAAGTTTGCTACAATGTTCATGAGTGCTTATGAACTAAGATTTGAGCATTGGATTAAACCCACGCTTGCTGGTATCACTTCATGGAATTTATCACGAGTGATAGCAAGACGATAATATCATATAATCGTTAAACCTATATATATGGTTTATTGTTTGCAAGTTGGTTGTGAATTGATAATGCATAAACGCATCAGTAACTTGATGTTATAAAACACATTGTTGTGTACGATTTGATGAGTGAATAGTAAATGCATATAAGTCGAATTTTATCTGTTCCTTTTATCCTAAGAGGGTAAAAGCGATATGTGGGCCCCTCGATGATTTGGTTTGACTTATGTGTCGGGCCCGGTCAGGACTGAATTGATGTGTTCAATTAAGTTCTATGTCAGACGAATGAGAGATCGTGAAACAAACTGCTAGACAATAAGTATGACTATGTTCCATGTACTTGTCCGCACGATATCTAGAACGGAGGATTATACGATCCCTTATCTAAAGGACAGGTTACTGATAAGATAAGAATTCGACAACGTCTTTGAGAGCTACGATTGCTAATCGGATCCTAAAGCCGTACTTGCATTTATAGTTACTAGACTTATCCAAGTGGGAGACTGTTGGATTAGTGTCTAAGCCCGTAACTATATTTGGTATGTACTTGACCCAGTTGTGCATGGTCCTTTTAGGTTGCCTTCACTGAAGCAACTAGACAGGATGATTTATAGAAAGAGAGAGTTTATTATGGTTTATTAATATATTATATGAATAATATATTAAAGGAGAAATCATATAGTTTTAATTAATGTTAGTCAAGAATTAATTAAGAATTAATTTTGTGGCTAAAAGAAATTAATTAAATAAGGGGGACTGAAACTGTCAATTATGAGATAATTGATTTTGGGCTGTGAATCCTCATGGATATAAGGGGGACGAAATCTAGAGTGGAAGACCACTCTAATTTCATCCAAGGGGCCTTATTCCAGAAGGTTCTTAAGCTGCTTAGGGCCTAAGTTATCCAATTAGGGGTTTGACTGAAACCCTAGCAGCTCAGCTATTTAAGGAACCCCAGGGCTTCAGTTTCGGCTACACCTTGAAACCCTAGAGTTATTATAGCCAAAATTGTGCCTCCTCCTCCCTCTCTTCTAGATTGCTTTGGTGTTTGTAATACAGTAGAGGTATTACACTTGTGATACTAAGCTCTTGAAGATTGAAGATTCTTGCATCTATTGAAAGGTATCATCTAAACTTTTTTTATTATAGATTTCGTTTTCATAGTATGCTAGATTAGGGTTTGCAAGCTTTGGATAAATTTGCATGTACAATAGAGAAACCTAGATCCAAAGCTTTAAGGTTTTGCATGCACATAGGATGTTCTTTTTCTCAAAACCAATCAATAATCATAGTCGTTATTATGAACCTATAAATAAGATTTATGATTAATTCTAAATCATGATACTGATTGATCTACTTACGGGAGTGATGTCTAGGCTGGATTTAGTGAGGTGTTTAAAGTGAGATTTCCAAACAGTATACTTTGTATACCAAACGGACCCTATATCTGATATGATCCTACGTGGTTATTCCTTACTTGATAAATCTTGATGTAGACATTGAGATTGTTGAGGAATCTAGACTATCATTATTATAGCTACAAGAAATGTGAAACTAGACTAAGACTTAACACTATATAAATCTAGGTCTATTGAAAGGATAATGTGATAGGTGTAGCGTTGCCCTAACCTCAAATCACCCACTCATGTCAGGTGAGTGCGTAGTTACTTTCAAGAGCATAATTTAATAAAAGTATTTATTAAATGCTAATTGTAATAATTATACTTTGTGCTATTTGTATAACAATAATAATACTGCTTGATTAGGATTTGTATTGGAAGTAGAATGCCTTTAACTATAGCCTTATTTAGCTATGAAAATAAGGCTTATAAATGATTCCTAGTTCAAATTATGCAGAATGTCGAATAGGTCTCATCCTGGGGTAGACTGTGAGATCAATGCGAAGTGTAGTAGTCCTCCTCTTTTTGGATGACGAGAAATGGTGGGTCCAGATCAAACAACCGGTAGGTAGGTTTTGGTCATCGACTAGAGTAGATGACAACACTTGACTATTCTAGGCGGTCTAGTGAATTACGTTGTTAGTGTGGAGTTATAACCCACAGACGTAAATAAAATGAGATACCATACTTATCAAATACTCTGAACATTGGATACCTTAATATAACTTACATTGGCCAAGGAATCCCCTAGTTGTGTAGTCAAACAGTTGCTCAGATGATTAATCAGGTAAGGTGATTCTTCTAGAAGACCGTCAAATTGAGATTTGTGAGAATCGATTGAGCAGGTAGATGATCTTACATCAGATTATATACATCTATATTATCTGGTAAATGTTTTTTTGCAAGAATGTTATTATGAATTATTATCATTAAAATATTACGAGCTTGAAAACCCATGCATCTCACCAGATTTCCTAAACCTGACCCACTCAATTTATATGGATCACAAGTAATGAAACTAAGGCTGCTGGAAACTAATTATGATGCTGAGTGAAATAAGAGATGGACCTATATTAGTATTTCAGGACCTTTTTATTTATGTTGTAACGTATGTTTGGATATTAATTGTGACATCCTTGGTACTTTAATATAATGAAATAACTTATGTTATCTCAAAAATGTTTTAATTAAACTGAGATTTTCCGCAACACAATAACTTAAAGCGTAAATAAAAAGTTTTAATTGGTTCTGAAATTTTGGGGATGTCACAACGACACCCTTAGTTTCCAACAATAACTTATCAACAGGTATTACTCTTTTTTTTAACCTAATTTTCCCTTTTGAACTTGTAAGTTTGTAAACATTTTTTTGAAGCCGTAATAGAGGTATTCAACGATCTAACACTACGCTTCTAAGTCTATATACAAATGTTGATTGTGCTGGATGTCTAGATTATCGCAGGTCTACCAGAGGTTTTGCTGTATTTCTAGAGTCAAATTTGATTTCTTGGAGTTCTTGCAAGGAACCTATCGTATCAAGATCAAGTACAAAAGTTGAATACAAGGATCTTGCAAATGGTACAACAGAAGCAACATGGGTGGAATCTTTTCTTAAAGAATTGGGAGGTCAATAGTTACAACCACCAGTATTATGGTGTGATAATCTAGGATATACTTATCTAACGGTCAATTCTGTGTTTCATGCACGTACGATACATATAGAAGTGAATTCCATTTTTGTTAGAGAGAGTTGTAATGGGCGCTCTTGATGTTCGTTTTATAGCCTCTAGTAATGATAGGTATCGGATGGATTCATAAAGCCAACAACTCGGAACATGTTAGATTGTCTGAGATACAATTTGGACCTAATCACGGTTAAGATTGAGGGGGAATGTAAACATGGTACTTAAGATAGATTAAGATAACTTATAATAAGATTTATTGTACAAATAAGATCCAATCATTTAGGATTTATTGTTATCTTTATCTATGTATTTGTACCTATATAATAGAATGAAGCCCTATGGGAATGTTACGGCTAAAACATAATTTTACTTAAGTTAGTTTATAGTGTACTTTATAAACTACGATAAATTATTTTTATTGTCTTGTCAAACATTAAATTATGATAAAAATCTATAAGATAACTTATTTTTACTAAAAAAAAATAACTTGCAACCTGAATGATCTTCGTGTGATGTTGAAATCCCCAAGTCAAAAGAGAAGGTCGAATCTCTTGAGATTAGCTTCTTTGTGGCAGATCTGGAAGGCGATGAATGAATTGTTGTTTAAAAAGGTGAGAATCACTCCTATAAAAACAACGGATAACATTCAAGCTTTTACTTTCTATTGGCTTAAACATAGATCAAATCTGGTTTCGTTAGATTGGTCGAATTGGTTTAGTTCTTCCTTGTTTAAGTGTATTTAAAACTATTGTATGTTGCATCTTTGCTAGTTTTCTTTTTTAATTACATCCCTTGTTTCAAAAAAAAAAAGCTACATTTAAAAATCATAAAAAACATATGTTTAGTTGGATGCCATTTTCTAATGAAATTTTGGCATGCTGTAGTCCACAAACTCAGAACAGCTTACAACTTTCTATTCAATATCCACAAACCACTAAAGCAGCAGGGCCTTGGATTTGTTAAATCGAGCTCTGGAAAACCGTAGAGTTCGCCTGTTAGGCATTCTCTTGGCATGTGACAAGCCATCATTTTCCTTGGCTCTTTTCGAAGTTGTCTAGCTTTTTATAAACTTCACACACTTGATTTAATTAATGGGGATTTCTCAATTATTTAAAAGCAGAATCTTCCATTCTCATTCCAGTTAGTACTTCAATTCAAGAAAATCTCGACCCTTTGTGTGTAATTTCAACAACTGTCTTTCTTTTTTGCCGACTTTCAATCCCAGGGAGTCTGATTACAAGCTTTCCCAACTTGCAAAAATTCCAAAAAGAACTTCAAAACAAAAAATCAATCTTTTGGACATTTGATGTTGAGTTTCCCAAAAGGGTAAAAATGGCAACTTTTAGTGGTTTAGAAATTGGTTTGAGTTTTGTATGTGGGTGTGTTCTCTTAGGCTGTGCTGCAGAGCTCTACTATATTCTATGGTGGAAGAAAAGAAGAATTGATATTGAAAACCAAAATCTAAAGCTATCTTTTTCTTCTTGTTCTTCCAATTATACCCCTACTCACCTCTCCTCCTACATTTCCTGTTGGAAAAACCTTAATTCTTCAGAACCCACAAAAACCCAAGAAAAACAACAAGATCCAGAGATGGGTTTGGTGGAAGATCTGGTTTTAATGGGTTCTGAAGAAGAAAGTTTCGATCTTGAACTCATGAGGCTGCATAATCTCCATGGACCTCCAAGGTTTTTAACCACCATTAATGAAGAAACCAAAGAGGATTTGGAATCAGAGAGGAGCAGAAAAGGGTCAAGAACCAGAAGTTTGAGTGATCTTCTTGTTCATTTCGATACCCCACAAGCTTCACCGTCATTTAAGGCGTCACAGTTGCTAAATCCGGAAAGTTTTCAATTTCATCACCATGGATTTAATCCGCTTTATGATATTGATATTAACAAGGTCGGATCTTCACCACCTCCCACGTTCAAGTTCTTGAGAGATGCAGAGGAGAAGCTTTTGAGAAGACTGATGGAATTAGAGTCTGAAAAAGAGGCGAATTCTTCTGCGAAAATGGTGGAGAAAGATGGCTCTCTAAAATTGGTCGAAAGTAAGGGAAAGATTCAACAAAGTCAACAAATTTCAGCTGCTTCAAAGGTACTTCCATTGTCGTCTTCGCCATCAAACAATGAGTGAAATTGACATGAAACAGTGAGCATGCAGCTACAGGTTCTTGAAGTGGGTGATGCTTTCTTTTTTCTTGATATTTTTTTTATTATTTTGTTTTAATTTATTTGTTCTTAGTGAGTTGGTGTTGTCAGTGATGTGTATGTACAAGTACAAGTTAGAGAATCTATGTTTATTAAGTTAGATCTTAGATGTTTTCAAAGTGATTACTTCAAGTCTTCAATAATCAGATTACGGATCATATAATTTTACATATGCTTTAAAAAAATTAATGATCTATTTAAAATAATCACTTTTTAAGAAATGATCATTTTCTCTAAGATGTCCATTTCAGACTATTTTCTAAATTCCTGAGCTTTTTTTTAATGAAGTATTTCTACTAATAATCGAAATGCTCATTTTAAAGTACGTAGTATCTTCGTTTTTTAAAATGTTTTATTTTATGTCTTAATATCATATATTCGTTTTTTAAAATGTTTTATTTTATGTCTTAATATCATATTAAGTTTTTGTTTAACTTTTCAAACTTTAAAATTTTAGTCTGGAAGTCTTAAATATATTTTTTATCAGAAAAAATATTTTTGTTGAATGTCTCATTCTGGATTTTATGGTTATTTTTATCATTTTTTTTTATTCTTTTCTTTAAATACATGTTACACTACGCTAGTTTAATGAATTTCCGTTAAAAAAGTATATTTCATATAGCGTAAATTACAAAATCCATCCCTAAGTTTTACTTGTACAAATAATGTATCAATGAATATTATTGTTATTAGAAGAAACACAATTATCTGTTTGTCCTATGATTGATGAGTTCACGTAAGAGCAAACTTTTAAAATCTTCAATTCTTTTTGACTAAAACCATTAGTAATAATAATAAGAAGGGACCAGTTTGGTGGGATACACTTAATCAAAAATAATAATTATAATTGATGATATTGCCCACTTACAGGTTTAATCGATTGGAATTTTGGTATAATACAAATATTAAATAATCATAAAATTGTGTATGACTTGCCGAAAATAGTTAGCGACAAAATAAATGTTTTATTTCTATAAATAATATTTATAAGATATTAATAAAAATGTGGATATTATTTTGTGGTTGGCATGTATGGTAATGATTTTGAACAACACTTACCGCGCGGAATATGATGGCGATAACCACGAAGCATGTTCTTTTGCTTCTTCGAAAGGAAAACTTGTGGGGTTTTGTGTTTGTTTGTTTTCTCATTAATTCCCTCCCACTTTAATTTAAATACTATTATTTCACTGATTAAAGAAAACACAATAAATGGAATAATGCAGCATACAACTAAATAATATATTTAGTTAAATATCTAATTCAAAATATAGAATTTAGAAATATGTTTTCAATTGAAAAGAAAAAAAAAAACAACAGATATAGTCAGATTTGGTAGTTTTGTTTAATAATTATTTAGAAAACACATGGTCGCCTTTGAGGGTCTTTGAGGGCGTGCAGGGTGGGTGACTACACATGACCATGTTGTGGATGAGACCTAATTTTTACATGCGATTCGTTAAAGTAGACTAGTAAATCAGGTCCGAAAACAAAATTAATTCAAACGTATGGTTACCAAGCCAAAGTCACTACGCCCTTTGATTCATGCCAATCCAAGCCGGAAGTCGCTACAACGTTGCTCGTTCTCTTGAACTCGTTAAGTCATTGAGGGTGTGTATGTTTGATTATTAATTAACTAAATTCAAAATAAATGCATCATCTTATTCATAAATCAAAATTGTAAGTTTCAAAATCCAATAAGATTACTCAATTTCATAATCGCTTTTGGCCTTCGATTTCATATTATTAATTAACTAATTGTTTTAATTTAAAAAATTAGAATCGATTTTCTAAAAAATCCAATGCTCACTTGATGTGTCTAAATTTCATAATCGATCTATTTATGTTGTGGTTTGTGTGTTTTATTGTTTTAATTTCAAGTGATTGATTTATCATAAAATAAGATTGAAAAATACAATAAGTATGAAAATAATTTTGTTTTTTTGTGTACAGAAAAAAGTTGAAGAAATTCGATGACAAAGATCGTAAGTTGTGTTGTAGCCGTCGTGAAGTAGTGCTTAAGTACGATGAATGATTATATATTGACGCCAAATAAGCTTTATCTAAAATTAAAAATGATTGGCTAGTTCTTACCGAGTACTACTAACCCCCATTGATGTTTTAAAATATGTGAAAAAAAAACAGTTGTTTTCCTAAAGCAATTAATACATATAGAGTCTTGTTGACGATTTTAGTAACTATTGCATGTGTAGAAACAAGTTTCTTAAAATTGAAGTTTTTAAAGTCCTATTTATAGTCCATAATTTTACAAAAAAAGACTTAATGACTTGAAAATGATAGCTATTTTGAACAATATATTGGGGAGTAATGATTATGAAGAGTTGGTGAACAACTTTGCTTCTAAGAATGCTATGAGAGCATTGCAATTCATGTCAGTATGTAAGATTAGATTTTATATTATCGTTTTCTTATTGTTTTTCTAACAATTATCACCTTATCGTAGTATTAATATAATTTTCTTATATATAAAGAAATTATGTTTAAGGGTCCAATTTTATTTTTCGCACAGTGTCTTCAAAATCAATGAGACTCCCTCCCCCTCTTGAGAAAAGATAACTATCATCGAAAATTACTTAAAGAAATATTTACAAATGTGACTATTTGTTCTTGGAACCAAAGTTGTTAAGATCGGGACCTACCTAGGATTGCAAGATCGAGATCGGGATACTAAGATCCCACAAAATTACATAAAAAATAATTGATTGTATATACTTTCTTTTTTCGTGTTTCATGGTTAAATAGCTTGAAAAGGCAACTGAACATGTAGTAGTTAATCTCATGGTTAAATAGCTTAAAAGAGTATTAAGACTAACTATTTGTCATAAAACAGTAGCAACTGACAACCTTCATGTTATTTGTTTTAAATCTTTAACACATTATTTGCTTTAACTATAAGGAAGAAATCAGTAACAGTTTGAAACTTTTTGGAGCTCAATAAAAAAACCACAATTTCTCAAACTTTAAAGGAAAAGGGCTTGAGCAATCAAATTAAAGAACTAGAAAAAAGGTTCACCTCTATTGTTGAGTATAAACTATTGAATGAAGAAATTAATAGCAATTCGAAGCTAAATCTAAAATTCTATCATTGATGAGGGTAAAATGTAAAAGGAAAAAATGAATTCTAGGCTTATTGGTCATTTACGGTTCACAAAACAGTACAAGAATGAGGCTATTCTCGATTGACTTTTGGGAAAGGATACCGGGTCAACCAATAAATGGGTAAAGATAATAAAAACCATATTAAAATTTGGAAATTCTAATGGATTGTTAGGATCAAATCGGATCTCGATCTTATGATCCTAACCCTAATCCTACGATTATGTCTAAGATCTTACATACAAAATGATCCTATTGTGATAAGACACGGTTTTCGTAGGTAGGATCATAGAATCTTACGATCCTATGATAAAGATCCCAATCTTAATAACCTTGATTGAAACGTTAATAGAAATGATTGATTTTTTTGTTGATTATTTGTAACATCCGGTTTCCAGGTATGAATTTTAATGTTTAATCTTCTGGGGTTTTGGTGGCCACGACGTGGTGGGGAAGATCACCACGACCTGACAGCCACTTTTGGCTTGCACATCATTTAAGTCGCCACAGCGTGGACCTGCAATGGCCACGACATGGTGACGACATAATGCAAAATCCTAGATTTTCAATCCATAAGCCCTATTTAAAGGAAGTGATGGCTATGGTTTCCTCCACCCTCGGCCTCCATCGTCTCCAAAGTGCCCTTGAACAAACCCTAGCTTCCTTGCAAGCTTTTGAGCTTATTTTTGGTGAGTTTGTGATCTTGAAAGGAAGGAGGAGTTTCTAGTGTAAGAATCCAACAAACAACTCATCCCAATTCTTTTGTGTATCTTCTGGACTCCTTATAAGTCCTCAAGTTTCCAGCTTTTTGGTTCCTTCCTTGTAGATCTAGGTTGTTGAGCATATTTTGGTCCATGGTTGAAGTTTGGATGATTAGATGAGATAAAGTTAGCAACTTTATGGTTCATCAAGGTCCCTTGAGTGTTATATCTTCTAGATCTAAGAGTTGTGGGTGTTTTGAATGCCATGCATGAGATTTAGGTCATTTTCTCCCCTTTTGACTTAGTTTGAGTGGGGGACATGCATGGATCATGCATGTCCATCAAGATTGGATTTTTATGGAGCTTTAGGGTCCCAAGTGTGGTTAGATGTTCCAGATTTGAAGTGTTATAATGATTTAAGTCTATTTAAGGGATCGTGACTCCATTGCTCCCATTTTTTACCTTGATGAATGAATGACATGCATGTCCACAAAGTAATGATTTTGATGGTCCTTTATGAAGCATTTATGCCTTTCGAAAAGTATTAAGGGTTGGCTTAATGGATTAAGCCTTAAATAAGGAAATGTCTTCCTGACCAAAACCAATGACGTGGCTAAGGAAGGTCCACGATGTGGTGGTGCGATGCAACACGTTTTTTTTTTGTTTGGACGTGACCACATGTAACAACCCAAAAACAGTGATAAAATTTTCATTTTTAAATCATCAAAACATACATCAAGTGTCTCAAATCATCATAAAACAATGTATCAAAACATCGGAGTAGAATAATCATTGATGTGGAAATCATAAAGGGGATGTTGTGCGATCATGTCGAGCCCTTCCCTTTCGAACTGGAAGTACCTGAAAATATTAAACCACAAAACCGTAAGCAAAAATCTTAGTGAGTTTCCCCAATATACCACATACCATACATACAATTTCCATGAGATACCCCCATGTTCTTTTCCCTGTAATGCCATCGGCTACCCCCATGGTCTTTCCTTGAAATGCCATGGGCTATCCCCATGGTCTAACATCCAAGTGCCATGGGCTACCCCCATGGTCTTTCATGAAATTGCCATAGGCTACCCATGTGGTCTTCATACAA